CTCCTAGGTTCCCCATGTTAATTCTATCACCAAAGTGTCCCTTCATCCATGTCCTTACTGTGCTTAAAGTGAAATAAGATACACGGAGAATTAATAATACTAGTGCAAATCTCATAATTTTCGTTATTCATATTTTATAATTATGCATCAGACATCCTGTATAATATATTCCTGTTCTCCACTTGTGATCACCAATCATAATCATATTCCCTCTATTTATCCATTAACCTGAAACTATACCAATGTAAATATTACTTATTTAAGGGGTGATTAAGAATTGTTTTAGAGGAGTACTTTCTATTAGGTTAAATATGAGTGGTCATAAAAAAAATATATATTTTTAAATTCTATATCTTCCAATACGCATGGAAGCCATCATTTTCTTATTTACCCATATATACAATTATTGCAAATATTTGTTTTGGAGCCACAAAGAGGCCTTTTGTGGGGCTAAAAACATGTATCATTCCCCTGCAATACTATTAATTTAATCAAGTATCCCCATTTATACTTTATCTGATTGTTTCTCAGAATATGTTACTGTCCCAAAAAATCTTCCTCTTTTTCTTGCATACCAAGACACATCTTGGAATATGTTCAGGTCTTGATAAGTATAATTTGTTTCTGTCTCCATTTTGGATCTGTGTTTGAGCATAATCTGTTCTTTGAACCAATAATGATGGAAGCATATGATGAAGTCTCTAGAGGCCGATGTTGGTATCCCCTTTGGTCTGGCCAGGCGATGGAATTTATCCTTTATTTTTCTTATTTGGCTCAAAAGCCATGCCTGTGTCCTGGAAAATAATTAAACAGATATTCCTGTAGTTTTTCTCTTGTGACTTGTTAGTTGATCCCTTTAATACGGTTATTATTCCGCCAACTGCGGTCTTCTAATTCACATATTTTTTTGTTCCAAATCACCATATTTGGTAGATAATTATTATATTGTGTTTGCATCTTGCTTTGTTGAAAATCCAGAGTCTCAATCCTTTCTTCAATATTTATCATTTTTTTGGTTTATTGCAGCAATATCTCTTTTTAAAAAAAATCTTTTTAACATTAATTTGTAGCTCTATAGAGATTTTTTTCAAGTAATAGCTGTTGACTTTTTCCAAAATTTCAGATAACATTGCCTGTATCACATTAACTAGACATGTGTAATTCGTTTCATACCCAATGCAAATTCAGACGAATTTCGGAAATTCAGACATTTGGAAGTGCCGAAGTGCTAAATTGCCGAATTTCCAAATTGCCGAAGTGCTGCATTTCCGAATGTCGAACCGAATTGCCGAAGTGCTGAATTTTGGAAGTTCTGAAGTGCGTCGGATTTATGAAAAGTGGCAAAACAGGAGAGGGTTGGGGTAGGGTTAGGGGTAGGGTTACTGATTAGGGTAGGGTTAGTGGTTGGAGTAGGGTTAGGGGTGGGATAAGGGTTGGGTTAGGGTTGGGGGTAGGGTAACCCTACCCTACCCCTAACCCTTCCATAACCCTACTCCGAGCCCTAACCCTGCTCCTAACTCAACCCTACCCCTAACCCTGCTCCTAACTCAACCCTACCCCTAACCCTACCATAACCCTACCCCTAACCCTACCCTAACACTACTCCTAACCCTAAACCTGCCACTAAGTCAACCTACCCCAACTCTTCCATAACCCTACCCCTAACCCTACCACTAGCCCTACCCAGGGGAGGGCTGGCAGCCTTAGGCCTGGGGGGCAAAACCAGTCAAGAGGCCCATTGCACCACCAAATCAGTGCAATGGTGCCCACCTTTTCCTGGATTTATAACGGATATTGATGTTATGCTAATCAGTAGCTCTTTGCCATACCCGCTCCTTCACGGCTCTGACTTTCAATGTTGTCAGAGCGCAGGCTGAGAATCTCTGAGCCTGTGCTCTGACTCACTAACTGAGCGTCGGAACCACGAGGGAGATGCTATAATCTGACTGCACCTACTGCTGGTGCGCACCAGTGGACCACCAGCGAATCGTTTAAATTGAATAGGCTGGTGTCCCCAACTTGTGAGCTGTGTTGTCCGCCGGGCGCCTCTGTTGTGATGGCACCCTGCGTGACCGCACAGCGTGCACACCCCAATGGCTGGCCCTGCTGACACACACTGATGTTACTACTTAGAAATCCCTCAATATTAATACAGACAGCAGAGTAAACACCAATAAACTGTGGAAACAGATCTGATCCCATCCAAATTTATAAAGATTTGCTTACTGGATTTGTTGTAAGATTAAATCATGCCTCCTCCCCTCTCTCTCCCATGCGCTGCTCTGTAAGCTGGGAGGAAGTGAAGAGTAATCACAATCTCTCAGCACAGTGGCACCTGTGGCTGCATGGGGAACAGCTGTATTTGCCGCCCCCCATGTGACATCACAATGCCCCACCTATATGAGCTGCCATACGAACTAACGCCAGTGCTGCCCACAGTGTGTGTTTACATTAAAAAGCCTGCAGGGACTGCCTATAGATACCAGAACCACTTCATTAAGCTCCAGTCATTCTGGGGTCTATAGTGTCCCTTTAATGTAATGAAAATTATAGATTAGTGTCACTAATAATATACTAGATTGCCTACTTACAACCAAATGAGGATGATGATGGGCTGCAGTTTGGCTCCACTGGTCTGGTGTAGAACAGGATCTCTGGAGGCTGTTTGCAACTGTGGTCACAAAATTCAATGTTCTGGGAGAATTGGAAGCAGCTCCATTTTTGGGGGCCCCTTACACAGCTCAAGGTCTGGGCCCCAGGGCCTGACGGTGAGTATGCCCACAAGGCCCACTCATAAGTCCACTTATATGTTCCACCCACCCATGAGTTCGCTCACAGGGAGTGGAGTGTGTAGGGGATGTGTTATGTGTTATTGTAGAGCAGGGGTTCTCAACATTAGTCCTCAGGACCCCCTACCAGTCCAGGGTTTAGGGATTACCTGGGTTTGTCTAAGGTGTTTTTTTCCCTTTTTCTAAACACCTGAGACAC